AGGTATTTGAGAAGTGCAGAAAAAAGTGCATTCAAAGTTAAATCTGTAAACTTGTTTAAAGAAAGAAAACTCCCGATTACATCTGTATTACTCCTGCATTCCTTTCAGCTAGCTTTTTGTAGTTATCTAAAAGTTATGCTGTTTTTCCATAATAATTTTTCATAAAAGACGAAATCAAGCTCAATAAAAATTGTTTAATGGCGTTTTCGTTTTTGCAAAAAATGTTACCTTCTTATTGCTCTCTTCTTAATGTTTGTGCGTAGAGTGTTTATTTGTCAGCGATTTGTACACTAACAGCCAAGCACTTTTATACTTACTAAATATATACTATCCGTATACTAACTCAGAATATTGCATTGCTAAAAGCGTTTCAAGCCCCAGCAAGCTCAGTTGAGTTTGGGCACTTAACTTTTCAGCATCACAAGTGGCTGGTGATATACCAGAGTGCCGAGAGAGAGGAGCGCAAAATAGGCGTTGGGCAGAGGAGATAAGTATCTACATAAGCAGCATGCGGTGGGTAATCCTGTTATGGGTGTAAAAGGTAATCCGATAAATGCAGCATAATGCAAAAGCAAATAAATACTGGCTTTTATACAGATGCTTATATGCAAATGTATGTACATAAGTATATAGTACATGCATACGGATATATGTACTTACTAGGCTTCGGGAGCTTTTGAACTAAAGAGCGAAAGAGTCAGCTCTTTTAATTGAACTAGTTCATTATTTCGTTCATTAATGTGAACTAAAATTTTCTGCGGCAACACACTAATGTAATTTTACAACACATATGGGAACTTCGTTTTTCGTTGTAAGGACATACATAAATAAACAGCTGATCGGAATTCATTCTAACTCAGCTCTTACTACCGAACTAGTTCAATTAGTTCAATAAGAGGAACGAACTAAGACTAAAAAGAGCTAGTTCATTGAGCTGTACGAACTATGTAGAAGTGAACTTATCTTTAAAATGAACTAAAAAATCCAACTCTAGTACTTACATACATTCAAATGCAAATGTAATTTTGTTTGCTTTGACATTAGGATAGCCTTGCTCCGAAATTTGCCAGTTTATACGAGTGTATAAGATATTGGTTTCACATCTGACTAAGCGCGTTATCCGAGCGTTCAACCATAACTTGCCATACCGGCCGCCGTCACCTCTTCGCTCTTGCACTACGCCTTGTTATGCCGCTGCTTTCTCGCCAGCTATGTTTACTTGCAGCTAGTGTAATACACTATTTAGTTACTTTTATATACTTATGTATGTGTGTATGTATGTATGCTCATATTCACCACAGTTCCTTTTTTTTGTGGGCCACACTTACATTTGCACAAGTATAGTATATCCAGTCGCCACCAGTGCTGCTTTGCACCTTTTTGCCCTTTGAAAAATTCATAAATTGCCTGCTGCTGGAAAAGTACATACAGTAGATCCTCGGAAAAATTAACCGAAATGTCCCAAGGGTACCTAATTAACTTTTTCGAATTATTAATTTTTCTAAGCGCTTTTAATTTAATAATAAATGTCGTTTTTAGGATATAACACGCTAAATTTATTTAAATGGCTTAGTTTTCATCATTACGAAAAATAAAACTTGGATTTTATTCTTACCGGTACTAGGAGTATTTTCTTGTTTGCTTGTTGATATGTGCTCGCCACTGCCTCCAAAATTGCATGACGTTTTTTCCTTATTTTTGAGATGCCTGCTTTAGATACACCGTTAGTCCGCCAATCGATTTCCGTAAATACCTCGATAATTTTTTTTTTCCAATCTCAGCTCTTTGGTGTAGATTTAATCGGATTTGCGATGACTTTTTCCTCTTTGTTGACATTTTTTAAACAAACAACCAATACACAACTCACAACTTCAAACGTTCACGACAAAAAGAAATTCGGGCTGGTTGCCAGTTAAATAGTGGTTATATTCCGATACCAGTACTTAGATGTTATACTCGAGAACCTCTACCAAGTACCGAATATTTTTTGTACTTCGATACGCATGTACAAGTACTCCATGGGTACCGAGTACATAGTGCAAGTATTTGTTTCTTTCCTAATTTTGGGAAAATCAACTGAAAATAGGTCTGTGTTGTAATTTTCGAAGAAACCAGGGACCGAAATAACAGTTATTTTTTTTACAATTAAATTTGGCCAAATATTTTTTAAGGCCGAAATAAAAGTCCTTTTCTAATAATAAACAATTGGCTAATCCAAATTAAACAAGTATTGGTATCAAATGAAAGAGGACTAAAATAGATTTTAAACTAAAATGTCGAAACGAGGAAAGCTACTGATTGAAAAATACTTCAATAAAAAATGTTATTCAATTACCATAGAATAAACCTTGGGTCAGGTATATGAATTTCCTCTAAAAAATAACGGTTATTTTCGGTTCTTGAAAATGCAAAAAGAACAAAACCCGTACCGAATTAGAGGAGGATGTGATGTCAGCCTTTGACTTGTGGAAGCTTTATCTAGAATTCGTTTTGGAACAGGATAATCAAACACAAGTAAACGTTGAGCTTTTTCATTACCTAACGTCTCATGTTTCAGCACTTTCAAGAACGACAATTTAAAATAGGCAAATATGAAAAGGCATTCTTCATAAGCCTTCTCCATTGGTTGTTGTTATGTTGTAAATGGTCATTGAACAAAAATTTCTCGTCTGAGTACTTTCGAGTACAAGTATAATCGCGTATTTCCTAGCGATACTTTAAGTAGCATCGAGTATTCTCTTCGATACATTTATGAATACAATCACTAGTACAGGAGGGTGTCGGCGAACCCTAACAAATGTTTGGTATGAAAAATGTATAAGCTCAGAAAAGTTAACCAAAAATTTAACTTTTCAGAGCGGTGCGTGAACATGTGAAATTCGGTTAACTTAGCCGAGCGATTAACGTTTTCGAGAGTTAACTTTTTCGCGATTCTACTGTACATATAAATTTTAATGTACTAGTTGTAGGCAGCGGCCGTTTTGTGGAACACCTAGTAAGCGTTGCATTTAGAAAATGGCTACTTTTGCAAATTTGCAGACGATTTGTGTATTGCCAGTGGCACTTTGCGGCAGTATGCTTGTTTCTCTTTGCTCCCGCAGCTAATCGCCTGCTCGTCTTGTTGCCGCCCACATTCCCTCATAATTTCCTCTCTTCCATCGACATAGTATTCCTTGTGACATGCACTTTCGCATCGTCCTACTGTGAGTTATAATCATGTGGCAAGTTTATAGAGCGCGTCCTTCTTGATGCCAGTCGATATTGGTGCGGCCACAATGTAATCGTACTGCAGTTCGTTGGGCGTTGACACTGCTACTTTGTGGGTTAGCTTGCTGCTGTGGCGCTGAATTCTAGTCACCCCAGAGCGTTTGGAATGTGATGACAGCCTGCCCATGCATAGGTTAAAATCTATTGCACTATATTTTTCTTGGTATTCAATGTTTTCTTGACACATTTTTCGCTCTACTTAGAATGTACCTTGCTGCTTTGTCTTCCAATTTGCACGGAAGTAAAGCAAAACTGAAGTAAATTTATACCTTCCGTTCGCTGTCGAATGGAAAATCAGGTTTGCATGTAAATATTTTTAAATTCGGAATTGCCGCTCGTTATTTTCTATTAAGTATAAAATATTTTTTAGAGTAATTTTTTTCTTTTTTTTTGCTAATATCTCTTTGTTACTCAAATCTACGCTCCTGGATTTTATACAATCGCCTTGTGCTTTACCTTGTTGTCGGCCTTTATTAAAATTTGTGGGAACCACTGTGCGGTTCAAAACTGACATTAAGTGTTCATAATTCATTGGAGCCTTCACTTTTCCCTCAATTTGATTATTATTATTTTTTTTTAACTAAAGCTTATAAAATTTGCAAGAAACGAGTTGAGCCTGATTTCTAAATTTTTATCTGATTATATTAAATTTTTTAGTTCAAAGTGCAGAATAAGTGGTTTTATTTTGAACAAAATCTATTAGATAACCATAGCCATAGACACCAATTCAATTTTGGTTTTCCGCCATAACCACAATCAGCTGATATCTGAAGTGCGAGTAAAAACGTGTTGCCAGACGTTCGAAAAAGAAAATATTGTTCACAGCCAACGTTTTGGCATAAGTCTAGAATATGAACCATTTAGCTATGCAAAAACCAAAAATATGACTCGATAGAACTTCTCACGCTGATTTCAATTGTACCAAAATTATTTGGCGCAAAAAGAAAGGTTGAATTAAATTTTTTTGATTCCTTAAATATTAATATATGTGACCTGGTCTACGGAAAGGGGGCTTAGGTGTCAAAAAATCCATTTTCACTTTTTGGTTGATTCGGATGGAAGATGAGATGCTTTTTCACGTGGTGAAAGGCAGAAAATCCTAACTTGCTTAGAAGTGTACTAAAAATAATAATAATATTGATAATAATAATAGTAAAACTATAATAATATTCCGACCAACAACAACACTTACTGGACCAACAACAACACTTACTGGACCAACAACAACACTTACTGGACGTCCGGCGCGGAGAACAATTAACGAGATAATGAGAAACTGACGAAACGAGTTGCTTACTTTTAACAGCTTTTTCACAGAAAACTAGTTTTCGCACGTAAGCTCCCTTTTCGTAGATCAGGTCACATATTATGAACTAAATAACCGATACAAAAACTAATGATGCCCAGGTAAAGATAATTCATTTATCTTTGAGCTGATGTGCATAGTTTATATGATGTTCTTTATATTTTTAATCCAAAAATGTTAAAAACGAAAAAATCGTATTTTTTTTTATAAAGTAACCTTTTCTAACAAAATTTCATAGTTAATGCAAAAGAAATTTATATTACTAAGAATTATAGGGAATTTGCGTGAGGCGATTTTTCAGGCAACTGTGTGGCGAGTTTAAGCTTCACCTCACACAACTCACAAAGTAAGTTGAGGTGAGTATAAGGTAAGGTTAATTGCTTAAATTTTTCCTAACTCATAATTTATTTAGCCATGCACTAAATACCTTGGAACTTTAGTGAAAGTATTTTGCATCTTCAAAGTACCTGAGTGCTTGGAACAGAGTCTTTATCGCCTGCTAAATACTTTCATTTTTTGTACCTTATTACCTAACAGCTTCTAAATACTTAAGTATGTTTTACTTGAGTCTTTAGAAAACTCCTAATAATCTTTTTTTTGCTTGGGTATTTATTTTATTAATTCCTAAATGCCCAAGTTTATAACTTGAGTATTAAGCAAGCTGCCAAATAGCACCCAAAATGGTACTTTAAATACATAAGTATTTACATATGCCCATCACTGGTCACAACCAATCATCAGAACATGAGCCAACAGCCAGCGCAGCCTCCAATATTATCAACGGAAATCAATCGTTGCAATTACCATGATTACAATCGAAATTTATATGTCTTTAGTTGTTATACTGCTTTTACTTTTTCTTTGCTTTTCTTATTTTTGTAACGAGATTTTTTATGGCCCACGCCGCTGTGACCTTGCGCTTTACAGTTTGATTATCTTTTTATTACTTTTACGGGCAAACTTTTGTAGGCATTTTAATGCAAAGCTACTGCCTTATACGCGATTTTGTGCTTTTTTCTCTTGAAAGATTTTTATTTGCAGCGCAGTCATTTTATTCTTACCACTTTGTGTTCGCTTATCAGCCCATTTCTACTTCATTTCATTTTAGATCAGGGCAGGCAATGTATTTAAAAAATGTTTGAGAACGCATATTGTTTAATTTTCATTAGTTGTTTTTTTCGCATTTGGCCAGGTATTTGATAGTTTGCGTAAAACACTTATACCCTAGAAACATTTGTGAATTAAATATTTACTTGTGTTAAGTGATTTTCATTCAAAATGCTTGTGGAGTACTTGAAGGAAACCAAATATTTTGTTTCGAATAAAGTGCAAAAGCGATGCGGCTTAGCCGTCTGCAATTTGCATTGATTGCTTTGCTGTCAGTCAGTGAGCTGGTGCCTGAATTATTGCACAGATTATTAATTCCTTAAACAAATAGCCGTAAATAATTCAAAAGTCCATGGAATAATAATAGAATTTATGAATATTTTGCCAACTACAAACATCTTTACACTCAACCAAAAGTCTGCTGAATTGCCACTTGGTCGGTTTTACAAATGCTGTTGGTAAATACATATTTATATTTTGTATGAATTTAAGTAGATGCGTACGCTTTTACTAACAAATTTATCAATGAAAAGAGTCTCAACAGCTTTGAAAAGAAAACATAAGTATTTAACATAAATTCATTGAAAAGGATGTATTGTGCGCCTGCTCATAAGAAAGTAGTTCATTGTGTTTGTACTAGTGACCCAAAGACGCACTAACAGCAATCCTTTGTACCTCCATAACTACACGTTGAGTGAATGGAGAATATGAGAATGAATGCGTATTGTTGCATATAATTTGATTTTTACTTTTTGCGGGTTAAAGAGTAAACAAAAAGGGTGACAAAAAGCGAACAAATATTCGAAACATGAAACCCTCATTTTATTCAATTTATTCAATGGAGTTTGCATTATAATAAATATTAGGGGAACTCCGGCTTACTTTTCAGCTATGCAATGGTAGAAAACAACCAGAAAATAGGCAAGTAAGACGCGCCAACCAATGAATGACTTAAAAAGTAAGCGAGATTTTGTCGAAAAATACCCGTAAGAATAGCTCTTCGAGTTTCAAAACAATGGTTCAGTGCTTACCGACTTTCATTGGCCTTCAGCTCTAAAAATCTTTAAATTTTGTTTTTTGTTCAGATTGTCGAACTCTACTGTCTCTACAGCAACACCGCATCTATCTGTTTCAGACTGACGTTGAGTCAGGCCCAGATCAGACACATATTTCTGCTGCGAAATCAGATGCGTCTCCATTCGAACTCAACTTATAGGTATACCACAAAGAGCTCGTTGACAGTCTGTGAGAATTAATGACAGTTTCTCGAGGTTCATTTTGACGTTTTAATCTTCTAAGCTGGTTGTAAGAAAACAAAATTTTACCATTTTTTTTATTCCAATTTAATATTCAAAATTTGTTCTTTTTTTTGGTAACCGGTATTGCTAGCGCTAGTGCTGTAACAAAGGACGTAGCGATTATTCATTTTCTTTAAAATTCGTTCCATTTCGTTCTATAACTCCGAAATTAAACCTCCCACATTTCAACTTTTAGCACCACCCTTCCTTTGTTTTACTAAACTTATTGAAAGCAGTGCCCTAAGAGGAAAAACTCCTGATGCCGCCGCTTTTGATTCCGTTTTAAAAGCCGCTAATAGTTACTTTAGGCCTTATTAGCAAAGTTAGAAAACTCATCTGCCCCTCCGCTTTCCTCTGTGCACAATAAGGGAGTCCAAAAATGCATGTGAAAAAGTAAAGTCGGAATTTTTATGCTTTCACCCGCTAGAATTTTTCTATACCGAAAAAAATATACCCCTATTTTCTTATTTTTGAATCAAAAAGTATTTCGAGCTCGCTCAAAGTGCTCAAAGTTTTTCATGTATTTTGTATACAAAAAAAAAAACGTTTTTCGTAGAAATGGCATAGAATTCTGTAAAATCAATATTTTTCGATGGAAAAACTCTGTTTATCTTCAGGAGATTCCTAATATTAATACACAATTATTTATTTAACCATTTTTTCATAGAAACTATATTTTATAGGTCCGCCGAAACCCCCGAAAAATTCTAGAAAATGCAATGGGGGATAAATAAAAAGTGTTTAGTATAAAAAAATGGTTAAATAAACAATGAGGTATCTTAATTGAAAGTCTTCTAAAGAGAACCAGAGTTTTCCGATCGAAAAATATAAATTTTTAAGAATTCCATACCATTTTGTTGTTGTTGTTTTTTGCCCATATAAAATTCCCTAAATATTTTTTGATTTCAAAACAAAAAAAATAGGGGCATATTTTTTCGATATAGAACAGTCCTAGGAGGGTGAGTCCTTTAAAATTCCGACTTTACTTATTTTGGACCACCCTAGTGCACAGGCATTTCGACGTGCGCTAATAATCGATATGCGCGATGATTCGCGTGAATACTCTGTGGACGCTGCCATTTCGTGCAACTAAAAAGCGCTGTTGCCTGCCCTTAGCCATATTTTCCAGAAAACTTTTCCTTCACATTTACATACATACATACACACGTACGCCTACACTCGATGCTGTGTGGGTTGCGGTTATCGGAGGAAGCAACACAAAGTTCATTGTGCATTTATTGAAGAAACTTTACCATTTTGGTGCTGGCATTTTCCACCGCTGAAGCTGCTTTCATCGTTGGCCTAATTATTGCTGTGCCGAGTCGAGGCGTGATGATGGCAAATGCGATTCATTCAATTCATTAATTTCAATCGCTGCCGAGAGAGTTTAATGAGCTTACAAATGAACATTTTCGCATGCACCAATACACCCACCTTAAGTGCTTATGTATATTTAATATTTGTATGTTTATATATTTATATTTATATTTAAAATATGCAAATATTAAAAGTGCTCAGTACCAGCTGCTAAAGATATCCATTAAAATGTCTCTCTACGCCCACTTACACTTACTTTTACTTACTTTTATTCAATTCATTGAGGATAAATTAGTCCAATAAATTTTAAGGATCTCTTTTATTTTGGCGAAGTCTTTAAAAGTTCTCGCCAATATCATTAGGGGCATTGATTTAACAACGGCTCATTTCATCAACTCATTACCTACCACACTGCGATGACAACTGAGTATTTTGCGCTTAAACCGCCATTACCATTAGCTCCCACCCTAACTGCTGAGCTCGCTAGATTTTGTGGACAACAACTTTCTGGCTATTTACTATCCGTTCAATTCGTTTGCGTTCGACGGTTGTGACCATGAAAGACAAAGGAATGTTGCCAGTAAATGAGAAAATTACTAAAATGTGAATTCGAAATGGCGCATACATAATGAAACGTAGTGAAGCGAAACGTCAGAACGTCACTAAAATCTTATGCACCGCACTTTCTTGTGCGTCGCGCCATTCACTTCATTTCGGCAACGATTGCTGACTTCGATTAGAAGTGTAATTTCAATTATCGCCATGGAAATTTAACGGCGCATAGTAGAATAAATGAATGTATGTATGGGAAATGAAAAGCGCAAAGCTAACTTGTGCCCGGAAGGACATAAGCACGGATGAAAGGTCGCATGAAAATCAGCGTGAAGGACATTTAACTTCCAAATACCCGCGCAAGCGCGCACTCACAAACATGTTCTTTTAAACTTGATTTGACGCAGCGCGGTACGAGCGCAGCCATTGAACTTGCTAATGGTATACATATTCAATGATGGCAATATTATCGATGATAATAATGAAAGTCATAACGAATGCACGTGATTTGAATTGATTGAATAATTCAAGCATTTGCTTGGCGATTTTTATTCCTTAAAATGTTTCTTCTTATAATGAGCACCGCATTGTTTGTTTACTCAATTGAAAATATTTGTTGTGCTTACTTAAGGATTGTGGTATAATATATATATTAACATATTACGAATTTGCTTGATATAGCTTACAAATCAGCCTGATGTCTGGGAAGTCGAAAGTACCGTACTTCTTTTTTTTAGCTTTTTTAGTCCGTACTTCACAGTAAAATATGGACTTTTTTGCAATATTTTTTACTGCAGGTGCGGTACTTCTCCGATCTTCTAGACGATCGTCACATGGCCTGCGAGATAAATTTGTTCAAACCCTTCAAGTCGCCGCGGACCGATGCGATCATACCTGCGCAGCTACACTGAATTGCGGTTGTGAAGGACCTTCTAGAGGAACTGGAAGAAGTGGGCTGTCGGGTGATCGCCTATTTAGATATTGTGGAACTTTTGGTTACGGGACGATTTCTAGATACCCTTTTTGTTCTGGCTCAAGGTTACCTGAACCAGGTAACTAGGTGGGCAAACAACGGAGCCCTCACAGTAAGTCCCATAAACATGGAACTGGTCTTGTTTTTCCGTTGTGGCCCTTTCCTCGAGTGGGGCTGCTCGCCTGTAGCTCTCAGACAAGGTCAAGTACTTAAGCTTAATCCTGGATAGGAAGCTGTCGTGGAAGTCTAACATTAAGGAAAGGGTAAGAAAGGCGTCGGTGTCATTGCACTGCTATTGTAGAGAAGCTATCGTTGAGGTCTCTCGCCCAAAGTAATTCATTAGCTCTATGAAACTAAAAAGTCTGTACTTGTAAAATAACTGGAGCGTTTACAGGGCCCTAATCGGAATTGGTGGAGCATTAGGAACCACACCTACGCTGGCGCTTAACGTCATGTTGAACACGGCGCCTGCGGATATTGCAGACAGAGTTGCCGCAGCACCAACTGCTATTAGGCTCAGGCGTTGGAACCCTTAAAACGTTATCCCCAGATAAGAAGAAAATAGTGACGCCTCTATCCTTCTCCTGCAGTACACTCTTGGATGGACGCGAGCCCTACTAAGTGAAAGCGCTGCTTCTTTTGTGCGCCGTAAAAGAAACCGTACCTTAAAGGCGCCGAAAAACACGTTCCCCTCAAGGTCTAGTGCTGGGGTTTCTGACAGGCCATTGCGCGATTGGTATTCAGGTGGTATAACAAACTTGTGTATTAGCTCTCAAAAGGAAGATGAGGTGGAATCATCTCCACACTTTCTTAACATTGGCCAACCTTCGCGAGGCTAAGATGGAAGAATTTTGGCTCGCTCTTCTTAACTAACACTAAAGGTATTAAACTGATTTGAAAGAAACGCCTTATTGCCATGTAAAAAATGTATACCCATTCGTCCTTCGAAATATATCCATGAAGTACTTATATTAAAATCCCGTTTCATTGATTTTTTGCCTTTTGTTTTTTTGTTATTGTTCATTTTGATTTTTAGCCATTTTCATTAAACGATAAGCAAAAAAATATTATTTCATGCGGAGCCAAATATTAAATACCCGACGCAAGTATCGAATATATTTTTTTCACCTTTCCGAATTGTTTTTAGTATTAATTTTTAGTAAATACATACATAAGTGCACTTCAGTTTTGAAATATCGAAGTTACAAGCATTTCTGAAACTTACGATTATTTGAAAAGTGGGCGTAATTCGATAATTTTCAACGATTTGCTTTAATTTCGGCAAGCACAATAATCGTACCGAGTTTGGTACAAATTAATCTAACGGTTACCGAGATACACATATGGAGTCATTAGTGGACGGTGCCACACCCATTTTCCAAAATTTTGTCATAAATGTATTTTTACCAAAAGAATTATTGCAAACATCAATTTTGAACATGCCACCTTCGGTATTTACTGTTATATCGAATATTTCGCATTTCTCTAAATTATCGAAATATGGGATGTGGGCGTGGTTATTGTCCAATTTTAAAACTTTTCAGCCGTTTGGTATGCTGTACCAATACCAACAACTATGCCAAGTTTGGGAGAAAGTGGTGGGCGTGGCTACGCCCATTTTCCTAAAATGTTGTTTAAAAATAACCGTAAATATAAATTTTAAATGAATAAGCTTCAGTAGTTACTAAACTATCGCAACTTGCGTATTTCTGAAAACTCACGTTATATGGGAGGTATACGTGGTTATTGTGCGATTTCGACCATTTACTAATACCGGCTGTCCTACGCTGAAAAGCAGTACAGTTATTAAGTTTCGTTAAGATATCTCTATTTTTACCGAATTATTGTGTAAAGAAGGGCGGACGGACAGACAGTCACCACTCAATCGATTCCTTTTTCATTTATGTATGCATTTTTCGATATCTATCTCGATTCGTTTTGGCTGTTACAAACAACCGTTATGTGAACAAAGTTATAATACCCTGGTGCACAAGTACGCTCGGGTATAAAAATCACTCACTAACTGAAACCATCACATAAGAGAACCGCAATAATATCGACAACGTTCAATTCGGACAAATTGAATTTTAGAAAAAAAAAATCTCTCCCCAGACAACGTACGCTTCCTTTTACCCCAAAAATATTCAACCTTTTAAAAATAAAAAAATTTCGTTTTCCTTTTTATTTGCTTCATTTTTCATGTCTCTCCACTAGATTTCTGAGCATATCGCATTCGTATTGTGCCCCGCACGGGGTTATCATATTGGGCATTTGTGCCAATTCGATATTGTCAACTATTTCATGGGACAGCCACTCAAAACCATCCGCCCACACTGTCCCACCGCTGCTTCCCGTGACATTTGATGGCTGTTAGCTTTAGCGCAATTTTAGCCATTTATTGCTGAGCTCTATTCTTGTGGCGATATGCCCGAATGGAAAATATATATTTTCCTTTGCTGCTAGGCTTTTAAAATGTTATTATTTTGTTGATACACATACATACATACATATTGTAAATATATGTATGTACAAAAGCAGATACTTATTTGCCGCGAGTCTTCCATTTTTAACGGCCCACAGCAGCTTAGCAACCATAAATCAAGAATTTTAATGCTTAACAATGTCAATTCGTTTGTACACAAAATAGCGCAACAAAGCCAAAGGCACTGAAAAACGGTAAACATTTTTGTTGCCATGAACGCCAAGTTGCGACACCAAACAGGATCGATCACAAGGTAAACGTTGCTGCTTGGCGTAAGATGCTGTGACAAGCAGGTAAAATTGCGGCCGACTTGATGCTAGTGCAGTGTTGGTGAGCCAGCAGACGGATGCTGTATAAATAGCAGCTAAAGAGATTTGAGTCGATTACGAATGGCAAAAAATTACTACCAACAATGAAAAACCCCAAAATTTATTGTGATTGTGTAAACAAACAATCAGCCATCGCGCTTATCTTGAGTGAAATAAAGAAGCATTAGAAGCGCAAAAAGCCAGTAGCAGAGTAACAGCCACGGCAGCATCGTTTGTAGTAGAGTTGATTGGCACACAAAAAAGGTGACAAATGTAAAAGTTCACGGTGAGTGTGAGGTAAATAAGAAGGTGCGAAATATATTTTTTTTTGCTTAAAAAAAATGCTAAGTTAAAGTTAATCGTTGCTTAAGGGTTCGACTACATATTACATACTTATGCATTGATTCCAATAGTTATAAGGGAGAACAAATTTTTGATGTAAGCTGTTTATAAATTATGATGCAGAATGAATCCAGGAAGTGTGAAATATATAGGTATATGATAACTGCCTAATACTTATATGAAAATGTAAAAACGCAATCAAAGTTTGATCAATTCATACAGTTGGTATTCTGAATATTCAAATGAAGAGCTCACTAATAAATTTATACATATGTAGGAGAAAACGCACATCCTTGTCGAAGTTATTATCAGGAAAATGGAATTACCTAAACGGTCCCTGGTGCCTGTAGAAGGGCAAAATAAAAATGCCAGCCGCTTATTTAGCAGGAAATGGCATGCAGAGGAAAAAAGCCATAATGCCGTGCCACATGTGTGACTGAATGTGCGTGACTATTTGTATGGTTGCCATGATTACGAGTGAGTGCAAAATACCAACGGATTATATATAACTATAAACACACACATATGTACTGTATATACAGGTTTTTTTGCATATCCTTTTACAATTATGTTTGCTTGATTGAGATTACTGTGCAGATAATTTCTTTCTGATGTTTTCTTCGTTACTGCATTTTTCCCACCTAAACCTAAAAATTCATATAAAATGACGCACATGAAAGGGAAAAGAAGTTTTCTTCTATTATTTCTTAAATCAGTATGCAGCTCTCTAGNTTTTTCTATCTAGATTCCTCTGCCACTGTTCGTTTTAATTACATATATGTTATTCTGTTGTCCTTTTTCTTAATTTTTGCCTTTATAATTTATCGATAACAGAATCGATAGTAAAATCCAAAAATATATCTATAACAAAATCGATGAAAAATTTGATAAAAATTTCTATAGCAAAGTCGATATATTGGTAGAAAAATCGATTAGAAAATCGATAGAAATATCGATAACAAAATAGATTAAAATATCGATAATACAATCTATAAATAATCGACAAAAAAATCGATACAATATCGATATCAAAATCGATAAAAATATCGATGAAAAAGTCGATAACAATATCCCAAAGAAAACCAATAACAATATCGACAAAATTTAGCTTTAAAACTATTGATAACAAAATCGATAAAAGTAACGGTTGTTATATCGATAAGTTCGAAAATATCGATAGAAATATCGATCAAAATTTCGACAGAAAAATCAAAAATATATCGATAACAAAACCGACAAAAATATGGATTATTATATCGATAAATCCTCCATCTTCATCTTTACTTTTAGCGGTATCCTGATTTTCATCTTTTTCTTTATATTTATCTTTTCTTCATCTTCTTCATATGGCCATTTACCTTAACCCTTATATAAGTAAAGAGATTAAATTTACCTTGGTCTTCATTTTTGCCTTTATCTTTACGCATCTTTGTTTTTGCTTTAATTTTTACCTTTGCCTTTATCATTTTCTCTATCTATGTACGTACTCACCTTTACTTTCATTTTTGTATTCGTCTTTTTCTAAGTGTTATTCTTTAAACTTTTATTAGCAAGTTTTTTTAAATAAATACCATGTGCGTACACTCAAGAATTACTTGTTTCAGCCCCAACCATTTCCGTTGAACCATTTCCGTTTGCAATTTCCGTTGAATTTGCCAATTTACTCCCAACCAAACGCCACTAAAGAAGTTTCACTTCAAAAATGCTTTTATAGTTATTTTTCAAGCAAATTTACAGCAACCACACAGTACTTTTCATAGCAACAGAAATAACTAATAATATTTCTTCAGAACACTATGTAACTGTAATCATCTGTGAGAGAATGGGGGGCGTGTTTTTTTCTTTACCACCAATATTTTGCAATTGAGTATGTATCTCCGGCGTGGGGTATGTACATACATTCAAGATAACAGGGATCTATACACTGTTGGTTTTGAGAACCGTCACCCAAATTTGAAGTCGCAGTCTGAAAGTCTTAAATACTTTCGGGATTGCACGTATCTATTCTAATAAAAAAATTTGCAGAAAATAAATAGTTATTACAGAAGATTATTTCCGAAACTTACCCCGGGAGGAGGGGTCCCTATTGTGTACACATAAGAACCATTTAAAGATTTATTTAACTGCTTTGAATTCGATTTGAAGCTGTAAAATCCAAACATGGTGATGAAAAAGTAAATTTTTGTAAACTTTTTAGCGATGTGTCACAGTATTGAAAATTCTCCAAATATCATGAGTTTTACTTTGAATATGTATACGTAAATAAATACGTAGTGTTCTTCTGAAATATTAACAACTCAATGAACGACTTAAACGATTTATGAACGGTAGTTCGCAAAATCACCAATTACGCAAATTTTCGTGTCATACGTAATTGCAACAACCAACTTTTTTGCATAAGTTAAAACATTTTTCCAAGCAAAAATCATCTCGGTAGCATTGCGGCTGCGCTACTAAGCTTCACGTTATTACCTGCTGAGCTGTGATAAATACCACTACGAATTGTGAATTACGAATTGTTTTTACTTATTCGCTGGCAATGCAAATCGCTGAATGGGCACGAAAAGTCAGCTACAACAGCAACACAATTTTTTTTTACAAAAACCATAACAGTTGTCAAAAAGACACTAACAAATTAATTTTTTTGTAGACAATATTATTTCAGTACTACTCGAGTCAGACAACTTCACACTCACCAACTTGCAAATAAAAAATTACAAAATTTTAACACCACGAAAAACCAATACAATCTAGTGAGTACTAAAGAAGTAACAGTACAGAGCGAAATAAAAAAATACCAAGCCAAGTATCACCAAAAACAAACAAGTGAATGTGGGAATGCACTGCGTTGCGCTGAGTGACTGTGCTGCATTGAAGGTGAACACACACACATACACCCCGTCCCCCTATATGCTTGCATAAATACTAAAAGACAGACAGCACCTCAGTTAAGACGGCAGCCAAAAAGCAAACGGAAAATGCAGCTCTGTGTACCGCAGCTACCAGTAATGAAGACCTTTTAGCGTCCGCACGTTGCAACAACTTGACGGAGGGACCAATGTGGGAGGGCGCAAACAATATGCAACAAAAGCGACGTACAACAAATAATAAGGCCATTGTAAAACCAAAAATAACTCTTTAATGTATTTTTTCTAAGACTTTGTTTCCACGCTTTTTTCCCCAACATCATGTTGTTACTTTTTTTTTTCCTTAAAATCACTTAACTTTTTTTTTCTGCCAGCTGACTATTTGCTTGGTTGGTTGGGCGGTTGATTTCACGTTCGTGTGCTGTTTGCTTGAGTGCGTTTCGATGCATTTTTTTTAGCATGCCAGCTATGGTTTTGGTTTTATTATTTACTCAATTTATTTC